TTGCATTGTAAGAAGGGGAAATGATAACAATGGTGCTGTGCAAAACCATTTTTGATCCGGCTACTGTAAAAATTACAGCAAAACTCAAAGAGAATAAGTAAGCATGTGTGTGCATGCCTGTATGTGTACTGCAAAAGACTTCATCATCCCTGTTGTGCAAAACCACATGGTACTCTAGTCTTGTAAGTAAGGGATACAATGCATTTCTCGCAGTTGTCATAGGAACAGTCCCTTCTCCTTTTTCTTTTTTTAAAAAACAAACAGAAATTACTGCTAGTAGAACTGTAGGCAACTTTTTTGCCCCTTACGTGACTCAGTGGTTATTTCTCCCATAGGAGAAATCTTCCTGGATGCAAGGAACAGCACGGAAGCCTCAGACAGCAGTGCTTTTTATAAATAAAAGAAGTGGCAGCTATAAGAGGTTCACAATTGGGCTGATCACCCTAATCTGCAAGACAGTCCCTCCCTACCTTACAGGCTACCACCTGAGTTGTGTGTAGGGTGCAATCACATGGGGGATAGATTGCAATGTGGAGTAGAGATGGGAGTATTCGTATATGAATATCCCCCCACAGATGCAGATAACAAGGGTCTGGCCCCCTGGGGCCAGACCGACCACTCACAATTTCACCGCCGCTGCGAGCTCTGTGGTGCCTTCCTATCTCTCCGTTGCTCACGATGGATTAGCCACTCTGCAACCTGGCAGAGAGGCTCATCATCCCGCCTTCTGCCAAGACTGGCCAATCTATCGCGAGCAACAGAGTGATAGAAAGGCTCCATGGAGCTTGCAGCAGTGGCGAAATCATGAGTGGTCAGTCTGGCCTCAGGGGGCGGACCCTTGTTATCTGCACCTGTGGGGGGATATTCATAAACAAATATGAATACCCCCATCTCTAATGTGGAATGTCCGGCTGCACTCTATTTCCTGGTGATCATATGACATATGGGGCAATTTGCTCCTGCCCAGCCCCACTCTGTGCCCAGGAACCCTGGTTTAAAGCCACTCCCTGGCTTCAAATGCCCGTGCAGCCATGGAAACTCACTGGGTGATGGCAATGATAAACCACTTCTTGACCATTTCAAATGCCTCAAAAACTTATTAGGGTTGCGATAAGTTGGAAGCAGCTTGACAATATATAACACACACAAATTGCTTCAAAAGGGGGAAATCAAGTGAGGGTGTGTTCAAACTTAAGAAACATCACAATTTGGACTGCTGGTGGTATGGTACAATAAATTTTCCAGTGATCACATAACATAGGGGAAAATGCTGTCCACCCCAACTCCAATCTGTATCTAAACTGGACCATTTTTGGTCCAGGTGTAGAGATCTTGGTTTTTGGTGCCAGGCTGGAGTGATTCCCAGGCAGACAGGAGGGTCAGTTTAAGGGAGATCACTCCAATTAAAGCAATCCTTTCTGGTGTGATCAGGTGCACACCGTTACAGCCATCTGATCACACTCTCAGTTTGCTTTGAAATGTGAACCAAACGAATTTCTCCCTGTCCCTAACACTTAGATTATGTTATTCACAGCAGCCAGTACAATTTAGTCGGGGGGGGGGGAGGCCCCCTGAAATAGAACCACTCCTTTCTGCTCTAAGTAACGTTTTATTTTCATAATTGAATCTTTCGAGTGTTGAAAGTCAGAAGAGTTCTTAAATATTATGCATTCTTAGAAACCCTCTAGACTTATTTTAGATCTAACGTGCCTGGAAAAGGTCCCAGCAATGATTTCAGGTGTTGTTTGACTCAGTACCTGCAAAAGCATTTGGCTAATGCTGATAAAGAATCTGTCTCTACAATTTGTACAGTTGCTGACAAGTAAAGATTTTTTTTCATGGACTATCCTTTTATTGATGCATCTATTGAATCTAAATGCATGTATACATTTCCAAACCTCTCTATGGGATCCTGTTTGAAAACCTTTGTAAGATAAAATATTGAGAAAGCAACTGTGTAAAGAAAAACATCCACACATTGTTAAAAGGAATTGACATGTTTAGCATCCCATTCAAGACTCTGAAATATTCATGTTTAGAATAATACACCAGAGCAAAAATGATTTTTTTAAAAAACAAACAAGTCATATGAGTGAAAGTATTATGGATAATGTATAAGTTAAAAGTTACACATTGACGCTGTTTTCAGGCGAGTCGTGGCCATTTTTGTTGGACAGAACTCTTGGAAGGCACATGATTTGGAGGGCTAACCGTGAATGTATTTCTTTTTTATAGTATTTGACCCAAGAAGCATGTTCTACTTGCACAGAACATTGGGGGGGGGGCGGAAGAGCTCTGGCTTCAGCTTTAGGGGCTTCTAGGCAGTCGCCCCTCACTGACTCTCCCTGCGTCTGCTATCACCTCCCCCCTCTTTCTGTGTGTGCTCATATGTGTTGTTACCCATTGGCAGAATAAGTGGATCTTGACCAGAGAACAGGAGTGGGGGGAGTTTTGGAATGAGGTGCCCCCTGGTCCACGATCTGTCTAGGATGTCTGCAAGTGAGGAGGAAGTTCAGTGGCAGACTCACCCTCTTGCTGCTGCTCACTATCTTGTGAGAAAGCTTATTCGGCCTCCGTAATCGGGTGTTGCTTCTGGTCACCTATAAATGCTGTGGAGGGCTGGGGCAGTGGCCTGTCTTCCCCTTGGAGTTGACAGAGAGGGTTTATGCAGAAGTGGTGGAGCTTTAAGTTTATGTGCAAGCAAGAGGCAGGAGCACAGTTGCTAAAGACTCAAGTAGTGGCAGCTGTTATGGGTGGGACCTGCAGCAAAGAGAAAGCTTGAGGGGGGCCCTCCTGGGATGCCTTGGGCTGCAGCAGATGTTCTGGTGTGCCGGATGATTGTGCCAACCTGAGTGCAGTTGTACGAAGTAAAGCAAAATGTTAACTGAGGACCTAATCACATGGGCCATTTGAATCATTTCAATTTTATACTTCATTGAAGCCAATAGATATCTATGTACGGTCACATGGTATATAAATCACTGGGTGCATTCACAGGGCTGTCTTTTCTTTTGATACATTTCTTGAACCTTGAACCGGTTTTGTAGGATACACGGGCCATCCCAACAAAATCTGCTCGTTTTCCATTCTTTTTCAAGAGCATGCTGCTCTAAAATATCTCTTTTTTTCCCTTTGTTAAAAATACCTAAATGATATATTGCTTAATGCAGCATCTAAATTTGTGTGAAAAACTTTAGAAGCCAATATTGGAAGATGTTTCATAGCACAAGGTTTCGTTTGGCAGTTCTTCAGGTTTAGGGCACTTCATTTCTCAAACGACACAAGGGGTGTGTGTGTTTCTCCACCTTGACAAGGGAAGGAACAAGCAGGAATGGATGTTACAAGGAAGTGATGCAGCAGCAAATTCCTGGAGGAGAGAATGCGGATACGTGACTTAGCATTTGGGGGAAACAATGAAAAGGAAACCAGTGTGGGTGGCCACGAAGTGCCCATGGCACCACAAGCACAAGTGGGTGCAATCGACAGCAAAGTTCACACACACGCCAAACTGATATGGATAGAAACAATCAAGGAGCAGATCATTTTAAAAAGCCCATGCCAGCAAAGTTGAAAAAAAATTGATCAGATAGACAAATGAATTCAGATCATTTTAAAAAGCCCAAGCCAGCAAAGTTGAAAAAAAAATTGATCAGATAGACAAATGAATTGATTTTACCCGTGCATCGTGTGAATGTAAATTTATGAACTGGTTTAAATAATGGCAGAATCAATATAACTGCAGTTCTCATGGTTCGTGTGATTGTGCCCATAGGGAGTACTGTTATTAACAGCAATAATTTGCAAAAGACACAAATCTCCTGGCAGGGTTCTCCTCATGATAACCAAGCCCAACTGAAATAAATGGATACTGTGCAAGCTCCCTTTCAATTCCTTATACAAGGAATGAACAGGTGACCTTTCTTGTGGGTGAATCTGTTAGCCTCAGGAGTCTATGAATATTGTCAGTTCAACCAATAACCAAAGGATGAATTTTAATTTGCTATTAAAGCTTTTAACCTTTGCTGAACAAATCACACTGATGTATTGATCATGCCTGCAACCCTAATATGCTTCTCTGAAAGGTCATGAGAAGAAATTTAGCTAATGACATTTGGTGTGAATCTGTTTTTCACTTTATTAGTCTACATGACCAATAAGTTCAGATTTCTAAAATTATTTAAATCAGAGTCAAATGATCAGGGGAGCAGCATAACAAAGAACCTTCCATGCTCCATTAAACTGTATGTAACACCAACCGGTTGTGACAGGGTGGGAAATTATAATGTCAGGAACAAAATGTGCTAAAACATGTGTAAGGGTGCTTCAGAAAGACAGCTTCTGGTGGCACTAATGAAAAGAAATTGTGTGGCTATTCTTCATTTTCCTCCTTAACAAACAGTTTTGTGGAAAGGAAAAATGAAACCAGAAATAGCTGTGAGAAAATGTAGGAGGGATAAAAGTGAGAGATGATGTTATCTGGATTTTATGGAAAATTCAGTGGATTAGGTAGACAATTACATGTGAGAAAAGTGAAAACTCCTATGGAAATCCTTGGAAACTGAACTGAAACAATATTAGACATAATAAAATTAATCAAAAATAAACCAATTCCAATTGCTTATGTTGTGTAAAAAAGAAATCTAGTTTTAAAGATGCTACTGAATCCAGCCTTTACATAATCATAATTCTGGAATTTATAATATGTGTTTAAATGAGAAATGGCAGGGCTAACAAGTAAGAGTGGGTAACTTTATCACTAAGACTTCAAAATAAAACTTTGTTCCAGTAACTGCATCTGAGGAAATAACATGGTGGTTGATGTGGGTTTTTTAAAAGACTGATTTATTACACTTTTCCCACAAGATTTTTATATTTTTATTTGATTAACAATAATCTCAGGAAAGAGAACCATCTAGCTGATGGGGAAAGCCTCATCTAGCACACCTGGTATTTTATTACATTGTTATATCATGTTTTCTTCTGCTTGAATGTTGACTTGGCTCCACTTTGCACTTCTTTTCACTTTGATCTTGACTGCGGTAGATAATAATGAAACATAAAAAAGAATATGTCAAAGGATAACAGCACTGCCAGCGTTTAGGAATGCATATATGGCCGGGAAACAGGAACACACCTTGTATATTACGTATATGCTTTCATATATTTTAGCTTTCGGCAGAATCCTGTTACTGTTTGCACAAGTTTTGCCTAACTTGCTATACGCAGCTAATTGTGGCTAATTTATGAGATACCAGGCCATGTTCAATCATCTCATCACCTACCTGACTTTGCAACAAAGATAATCCCTAGCACCACATCAATTAGCAGCAGTTAGCCATGGCAGGTTATGCAAGCACCAGTAGGATTCCTGTTGGTATGTTCAGTTTAGTATTGTTATTATTGTCGCGATAACTACTATTAAAATCTTTCGTACATCTTTGAGGAAGAAAGACTCAAGGTATCTTAAAATGAAACTATATGAAAGTTTAAAACACAGACATTAAAAACATACGATTTAGCCTGTTTTAATTTGAGGAGACACCTTGACATAAATTTTTTAAACCGCACAAGGTTCCTCTCCTCTAGATAAGACCTTTTCAAGGTCTTTGTAATTTGCACAAGTTGCCTATGCATGCAACTACTGTTAATGTCCTTTCCATTTGAGAGGCAGAAGACACACACAGCAAGCACAGAAGGATTAGTTGATTGTTAGTGCCAAGATGTAAATGCCCTCTCCAATGTTTCTAAGATCATGCAACAAAGCACCAGGCCACCATCATTTTGTGCAGTTTACATAATTTCCATTAAAGAATTATTTGAGTAACTTTGCTTAGTTTCTGCAAAATAATAGTTCTTGCTCTTGTTCTCTTCTCTTGTCAAAAGCTCAGCAATACTTTGTCCTTTCATAAGGTGAGGGGAATAGGTTTGTGGCTCCTCAGCCTTGCATGTCAGAGAAAAGCAAGTGAAGATTTACATCATTTGGCATTAAAAAGAAAATGGAGCCTGGCAGGCCTCACTGGAGAGAGCATTCCATAGATGAGGGGAGGCAGAAGGACACCTCAAAGCTGGGTCTGGCCCCATCCACAGAGCTCACGGCCCTTGGTGAATTCTCACTGAGAGAATGCAATCATTCAATCATTGAAAGGAATGTTTGTCCACTCCTGATTGTTAATCCAATGGAAGAGAAAGAAGGAGAGAAGTATTTATGAGCAAATGTGAGATGCATGGGGAGCCGATTCATCAATTATGACTTCTCTAAAGCACAGTGAAAACAGGGAAGGCCTGAGTCAAGCATGGAATATAGTAATATACTAGGTAGGTAGGTAGGTAGGTAGGTAGGTAGGTAGGTAGGTAGGTAGGTAGGTAGGTAGGTAGGTAGGTAGGTAGGTAGGTAGGTAGGTAGGTAGGTAGGTAGGTAGGTAGGTAGGTAGGTATCTCACCTGTCATTTACATGGTGAATGTAAATATCTTATATCTTCTTGCATTCTTTTTCCACATTATCAGCCATGATAGGAGAAACCAGTTGTTTAAACTTTGCTAGTGGACAAGCTGCAGAACATCCTGGCAAAGTGAACTGAAAAGGTTCATTTGTACCATTCCGAAAGTGCATCTCAATGGTGTGTTCTCTGATTTTTATGGCACCGAAAAGAAAAAGACAATTGAGGTCTTCTCTTATTGGAGCACAATTTAGTTGTTTTAATAAATGCAATTCTTTATCATACAAAAAAAAAAAGAGAGATAGAGATGTTCAGTTCCATGTTGCTAACAGAGGAAATTCATAAAGCCCAGATCCTGTTGCTGGAGCATTACACTCCCACCATAGTGTTATGGAGTGGCATCCCAATGTGCAAGCAGAGATTGCCTCATTGGAAAGAAGTGGGCTTGCACAAAGAAATGCCAGATGCCTCCTTGCACATGCTCACAGATTCACTTGCACAACAGGCTGTTGAAAGAACAGAATTCTGGCCTTAGACTATAGCTCCCAGAATAACGAGCTGAATGCTGGGTTGCAAACATTCTGGGTATTGTCCAATAAAATATGTTTTTCCCGGCTTTTATAAAAAAGTATACTGACTATATAAAAGTATATACACAGATGGATACAAAACATCCACTATGATTGTTTCCTACCTGCACATACAATCTTTATGGAGAGTTGTGAAACCGCTGAAGTGCAAGCAAGCAAGCAAAACATATACTTCTGTTGGGTGTGCAATGACTCTTTTAACCCCACTTGTCTTTCAAAAGTCAGATGCTCAGCCACTCATCTATGAAACCCATTTTCAAAAGCTGAGCTTCAGTTCCCAAGGCAGCTTTTGCTTCTTTCTTAAGCACCTCAAAACCTGTCGGGCCAAATACCATGTTCGGTCTCATGTAAGAAGATAGGTAGATTTTGCATCAATTCACCCTATATATTGCAGCTGATTATTGAATGAATTAGCATATATTAATAATAATCATGTGCCATCAAGTCAATCCTGACTTATGGCGACCCTTTTTAGGGTTTTCAGGTAGAGAACACTCAGAAGTGGTTTACCATTCCCTTTGCCTGGAGTCATCCTGGGAATGTGCAGCTTGCCCAAGGCCACACAGGCTAGCTCTACAGGACTCTACTCACTGTGGGGAAATCATACTCCCAACCTCTGGTTCCCCAGCCAGATACCTAAACCCCTGAGCTATTCAGCCTTGTATATATTAATATTAGTAATACTTGCCCATTATCTTCTTTATATAGTTCAAAAAAATGGCAAGCCGCATAGGGAGGCAGTCGTTGATTGAAAATATCCAGCGCTACATGGAGAGCAACTAATGTCATATCATGCTGTAAAAAGGAAGAGGAAGAATGGTTGTTACAGGAAGTATCTTGGGAGAGATTTACAAGATAATCTTGCATATATCTACTCAGAAGTAGCCACCATTGAGTTCAGTGGATCACACTCTTAATTTTATGATTCTTGAAATATCAATTAGGATAACTCTTACAAAATTGTTGGAAGAAAGAGTATAAAGAAATGTGCAAGAATGGGGCTGTGAGATTAGGCTGGTTCCAAATCTAGTGATTATTACTTAGGAATTAATATTTTATCTCAATATGATTTATGAATGTATTTTTTTTCTCAAAATGCAGTTTAAAAATGAATTGTGATCGTCTTTGTTTGAGCAAAAGACTGCATTGCGAAATTAATTCAAAACTCCTAAGGTTACTTTGAAGAAAAAGAAGAAATGTAATGATGTCCAGAGGCATTCATAAAGCATGCAGTGTAGGATAATGCTATAAGTAGGATGATGCTTGAGGGTGCCTCTAGCATGGTTGGCCACATATGTTCTCCATACAGTCCCAAAATGCAGTTTCCATGAAAGCAGAAACAGGATTTTCCCCCACTTCTGGTTGCACATCTGCACCAGATTTCAACTGCATGTGTCCACTGAAGGTGGATCAGCCTATCTGAGAATCTGGTCCTCTGAAATTGGCTTATTCATCTGCCAAAGCTGCCCACTCATGCCTGATGTCATGAGCAGTCAGGCATAATGGGAGAATTTAGACAGCACTTTTTAAAATGTTGCAGCCTGTAGAAGTTTTGTAGGTTCTTTCCTAGTCATCATGCTTCCTGCCATATCTTCTCAGATTGTGTTTCCAAGCTGATTGGCACCTAAGCTATAGGATATGTAGTCATTTTAAAATGGCACTACTTACTGCTGAATACATGATCAGTTTGGTTTGCATAGCAGACTCTGCAACTTGTGTCAACTTTTCCAGAATTTCTTTCACTAGAACACCTGAATGGAGGTGAGAAATTATACAACTGCTGGAGAAACCATGAAACATTTCCAACCATCTTGTTATCATTCATCCAATGTGATAAGGCTGGGTTATTCTTCAAACAGGCTCAAGAAGTTCTAACTGCCTTCTGAGTGAAAGGTATGCTGAATTCTAACCATGCCTTCAAGTTTTAACCACAATATTGATAACACCAGTGGTATCAATAGATGTGGAACAGGCAAGCACTTAAAATCTAGACATATATAATCTGATCGCATAGCACCCACCTCCTCACCCCATACTTCCAACACCACAATTTTTTAAAACTTCAAAATGCATGTTTCCGCAAGAGGACATGAAGGGCATTTTTAAAGCTCTAAAATGAAGGAGGGGATGGTTTGGGTAGGGAAACCCTTGAGTGGCCCACTGGGTGTCATGGAGAGATGCATGTGGGTACTTTATCCACCTTTAAGGCAGAGGACCAAGTGCTGCTGTTTCCAATAAAGGTTATTTTCTTCAAGCGTGGCCAAACTTTGTTTTGTTTTGATCTCTCTCTCTCTCTCTCTCTCTCTCTCTCTCTCTCTCTCACACACACACACACACACACACACACACACACACACACACACTCCATCTAATTTATCAAGAGTGCCTGCTATTGTTTTTCACAGTTGAAACATTCCCCTCTTGACAGTCTTTCAGGCTGTTGAGGTTGATTAGAAATACATAGTTCTACAGAGTCAGCAGCTGCATCCCTTTCCCAACTTCACATCTTGTCCTTGACTGATTCCAGTATTTTGAGGGTTTTTTTTCTAGGACAAGCTCTCTCTCTTATTTTGCTTTTTTCCTTCAAATGTAAGCATGTTTGGGGGCATATCTTACATTTTAGGCATGGCTACAATTTATTCCCCTCCACCCCCGTTGGTGGAAGCATGCTTAAGCAGGTTTTTTGTGCATGTGGAGCTTCTCAACTGTGGGTATTTGGGCTAATATGTTGTATGTGCACCTTTACACTTCTTGAAGTCACTGTATTGCCCTTGAACACTCTGGACTTCCAGGGACCACCATACCCAAAATGGATGAAATTTGTTGCCAGAGCAGGGGTTGAATTTAGTCAAAGAGCTCTCCATGGTCAGAGCTTGGAAACATTATTTTGTGGACTAAAGCTCCCAGCAGCATCTCCAAGATAGCATGGTCAGTAGCATGTGGATGCTGAGTATTGCCATTAAAAGAGTAATGTTCCCAAGTTCTGCTGATGGCGCAGGGGAGGAGGGATGTTTCATCGTTCTGCAGGGCAGAAAGTCTTTTTAGCTTACTGAAGTAACAAGAAGGGAAAGAAAAGAGAGAGCCTCAAGAATTTCTGGGTTTGCCTCATGTAGTCCTCCTTGCCTTGTGATTGCAATCCAGTTATCTCACTGCTTGAGCAAGTGTGATATAATGGCTGGTAATGATTTTTCCTACATAACAGTAAAGTTTATGTTGCACTTTTTCCACATGAGCAGGGCATCAAAAGTGCTTTTTGGAGATTCTGAGTGGGTTTTTCAAATTTTAGACAATTTCTCTTAGTCTTTTGATGGAATCTGCTGCCAAACGGTATTAAGCTAACTAAAAATAGTGAATAAAGTAATGAGCAATGGGGAAATTAAATTAGAAATAATGGTGACATTGGGATTTAAGGAGTAATTTTTCAAGTCAAGAGTGAAGCCTGCTGCCATAGTGGAACTGCACCCTCCTCATTTACATTATACTTAAACAACATCTGGGAATGGCTTTAGAAGAAAAAGCTCACAAGATTTAAGAGACATATCACTGAGAAATATTTTGCTCTGGGTTTTTTGCTCACCTCCTTCCAGTCGTGACTTTTCTTCTCTTTTGTGTACCCCAAACAAGGCATTTAAAGCATACTCCAAAATCCTTCTCAGCTTATACATGTTTTGTGCTGTGGCCCAGGCCGGCAGAGGTTTTCCATGGATTTTCTATGACAAATAAACCAGAAATTAAAAAGAGAGAGAGCGCTCTGAGACAGATCTCTTTCCCCCTCTTTCTCATTTACAGACTTCCAGTGTGGATATATTTTTAAGCTATTCTGTCCTACTTTTTCACAACCACAAGATGCCATAGTACCACAGCCACACGTTAAATGTATAATACAACAACGTTTTTAAAAGAAAAAAAGAAACTGAAACAACACAAAGGCAAGGATTCAAGCGTCAGTAATGATGGAGTTGCTCCCATTATTACAATTAGGAAAAAGCATAAGGTAAATGTATAGTGGAGGGTGCAGTAGCCTTCTCAAGCCCCCAAAATATGCTCAGGTAGGTTGGAAATCCTCTAGAGCCAGTTTTCTGAAGAGATTGGCTGTGAGCAGGGATATTTTTGTCATGTCTGAAGTTTATAGGCCAATTAAGATAAACTTAAAGTGCTGTGTGGGGGTGAAAGTCCTACCGCAATTTTTAAGATACTCTCTCAATAGCATCTTCCTTGAGAGTCATGGAAACCTCTACCCAGCATTAACGTTCCTCCCTTCATTATGACAGAAATGAAGGGCCTGCCATCTTCTCTGTGTTGTTTGATTTTGTTTATCACTGAAGATTGGCCAGGTTGTTGGGGTTGATGGGAGTTGGTGTCCAACAATGTCTTCACCTCTGCAGCATGGCTTTGTTTATCTTGACCTGCCCAAGCAACAGAGCCACCAGCCAATCAGTTTGGCCTATGATCTGGTATCCTAGATTTAGATCTAAGGATTTAGATCTAAGGTGGGTTTAGACATAGGACTCCTAAAACCACTATTCAAAAGACATTGGGCAGCCATTCCATCTTTCCTTCCTTCATAGATTTTGAGTGCTAAGAAATAAAATGAAAGAAGGTGGAGAGACACTCAGAGACAAGTGGACGACGAGACAGTGCTGGGGTACAAATCCGGATACACACAGAGACACACAATTCTATGAAGGGGCAAAATATAGACCCCCTCCAATCATTCCTGATTTCCTTTTTTGTTTTGGTTTCTGTTTGTTTTTGTGGCCCAGTGTGTCATACAAATTTATGAAAAGTACCTGAACTAATAAAGCGTCATATGCTTTCCAGAGTTTTTGATTTGTAAAGTCCAGAAGAGTCTTTATGTCATATCCCATATTGCTTGCCATTTGAGCTAGAAATGGCTGAAAGAAAAAGCAGAAGGGTCTGTCAATGTAATTCAAATGAGGAGATGGATTGGTTTTCTCCTGGTGCTGACTGATGAAATTGGAATTTATCTAGCAAACCTGCTGTTAATCTGCTGCTGAAATGCAGGATTCATAGGGCAAGGAATAAAGAAACAATTACAATAACAGAGAAAAACACCAACATTGGTGTTATCTACCATAACTAAAGAAAAGGGTGAGCTTGTGTGTCGTCAAGTCAGTTCTGAATTATGGTGACCCGCATTGGGTTTTTTTAAGAGTGGTTTTCTATTGCAGCCCATCAGGGAGTTTCCAGAATTGAGCGGGGATTTGAATCTAGGTCTCTTGTGTCCTAGTTTGATGCTTTATTCACTACACTACATCAGTGAATCAGTTGTTAATTGGTTGTTAATCGGATTATTTTGTCTTACTTGAATACCCAGTTTCTTGGGGGTGGGGAGGCAATGTGTAGCTTGCATAATTAAATTGTAAACTCTCTAGAGTGTGCTTTAAGCACCAGGGGGTGGTATATAAGCAGCACGCTTTGCTTTTGCTACATTGAATGTGTTTTTGGTGTTGCTTTTGTTTACCATGCTGTAGTGTGGTATTTGACCCTTTCAGATATTTGTATACAGTGGTGCCCCGCATAGCGACGTTAATTCGTTCTGGATTAATCGTCGCTATGCAAAAACATCGCTAAACGGAACGGAAAACCCCATAGGAATGCATTAAACTTGGTTTAATGCGTACCTATGTGGCCCTAAACTCACCGTTCAGCGAAGTTCCTCCATAGCGCCGCCATTTTTGCACCCTCAGTAAGCGAGGGAAGGGCGCGAAAATGGTTGCGGCGGCCATTTTGGGTGTGCGGCAGCCATTTTGGAACTGCCGATCAGCTGTTGAAAAAAACATGTGAAGATCGGTAAGCGAAAATCTTACCAATCATCGCAATGTGATGTTTTACCCATTAAAACATCGCAATGTGATCGCATTAGCGATCTCAAAAAAGAGATCGCTATGCAGATTTGTCGTTAAACGGTGCGCTCATTAAGCGAGGCACCACTGTACTTACTGTATTTAGCTTTTAATGTTGTCTTTTAATGAGTTAAGAAGAAAGGTGAAGTAAAAATATTACAAACAAACAAACAAGCTGTTGGAGCAATATATAACAATGTGGAGATTGGCATTGGATGTCTGCATCTGCAAGGGAGAAGTAAGTATCCTTCTGTGCATTTAGTGTAAAAAGGCAACTGTATGCAACCTGATCTACTGCCACCAGAAAAGATGGAGGTAGACTATTTTGTGCTGCTTGCCCTCAGTGCCAAAACTGCCAGTTGCAGCCCTTCTGAAAATGTGCACCAGGAAACTGAAAACATTTAGTGGTCAAAGCCTAATTTAATATTACTTTTGTTCCTTTTCTTACCATTTGTGACTGGATCATACCACGGGCATCGTTTGATTTCATCGTTTCTTTTAGAAGTAAATAAAACCGCTTGCAGTAAGGCCATGGAAATATAAGCAACTGGAATAGAAATAAGAAAATGTATTATCTAGCTAGACTCTGCTCGTGCACAATGCCTTCATTTAATTATCTGAGATCTCCTTCCCTCATAAGAACCTAAGAAGAGCCCTGCTGGATCAGGCCAAGGGCCCATGTAGTCCAACTTCCTGGATCTCACAGTGGCCCCATCAGATGCATCTGGGAGCACATGGGACAACTAGATACCTGTCTCCTGATACCCCTCCCCTGCATCTGGCATTTTGAGGTACCTTCCTTCTAAGCCATGGCTTGTAATCTGTGATGGACTTTTCCTCCAGGAATCTGTCCAATCACCTTTTAAAGGCCTCTAGGCCAGATGCCATCACCGCATCCTATGGTAAAGAGTTCTTGCACCACAGTTCAGCCCATTCAACTGTAACCCCCCACCTGTTTTTGAGAAGCTGCTATAGAGAAGAGTAGATGAAGAAATGGGCTCCCACCAGCAAAGTTACATGCACTCATATCTGAATCCAACCCACAAGCAAGGAGGGTGGGATCCCATCTGGGCGCAGCTGGATGAGATATCTTCCCTGTCGAATTAGAGGCTGCTTATGATGTAGCCAACATTTTGATGGATGTGGTTCCTGTTCTCTACCTATGAGAGATTCTACCTATCTGTACTGCAAGTACAGATGCAGGCTAAGTTCTCTGAAGTCAGGTCCAAAAAAATCAGAAGCCCAGCTCACCTGAAAAGGAAAGGCACTTTTAATAAGCCTCTTGGTTCTTCTGTAGTTCAGAATAAAACCAAGCAGAAGAAGAAGAATGCCCTGTTTCCCCTATCACATTTTCATATCTCCTTGCCAGTCTTTTCTGCACTCCTAAACACATTTCTCTCTGTTCCTAAATTTACCAAAGGGCAGAAATAAATTGGAAAGCAAGAAAAGAAAAAAGAGGGCAGGGATTTCCTTCCCCACTCTGCTGCCACCATGCCATCGTATTAGCTTGTTGTGTGTTGGTTGCAAAGCATTGTGGGAATGGTAGTTCTTCCAAAGGACCCTCAAGCTGCAAAGTATGGGATCTCTTGGGGCCATTCCAGAGGTTCTCTTTTAAAAATATGACAGTAGGTGAAGAACACTGTGTACACATTTCCTTACCTTATCCTTGTAATTAGGCACAGTATGAACTGGTATGGGTTGCCAAAGGAGGTCAGGGTTCCAGATTTGGCTGCCAGTAGGAGGATAAAGTCCTGCCAGATTAGCCAGAGCGCTCATAATAGTTCGATCATAATCTGTACTTCGGACATACAGCTAGAAAAAGCAGTGGGGCGGGGGACATACCAGCATTTACATGTCTCAGCAAACTATGAATTTTGGCTCATTAAAAGTCAGGTCAAGCTTATTTAGGTTTAATAGCCCTGAAACCATATATCGTGTCAAGTTTTAGATTTTAAAAATATGCTAAAACAGAAATTTACCATCTCTACAATACACTTTTTTTTTCAAAGACTGCTCAAGAGTACTTTTAGAAGGCTGAATATTTCAGTAGCTATTTTTGAAGGAATTGCTTTCTTGCTGTTGCATATTTTGGACAGTAAAAGAAAGTACGGGATGGTGTATCAAATTCTAACAGGCGACAGTCACAGTAACACTGATCTGAGTGTATCTTGAGAAATTGTCTCTCATCTGAGCCATTGGGAAAGCATTGCATGAGCAATCAGATATGACCACTTTCGCTTGGGAACTCTTAAGGTAAAGGTTCCCCTTGACAATTTTTTATCCAGTCATGTTCGACTCTAGGGGGCGGTGCTCATCCCCGTTACAAAGCCATAGAGCCAACGTTTTTGTCCGAAGGCAATCTTCCGTGGTCACATGGCCAGTGCGACTTAGACACGGAATGCCGTTACCTTCCCACCGAGGTGGTCCCTATTTATCTACTTGCATTTGCATGCTTTCGAACAGCTAGGTTGGCGGGAGCTGGGACAAGCGATGGGCGCTCACTCCGTCGCGTGGATTCGATCTTACGATTGCTGGTCTTCTGACCCTGCAGCACACAAAGGCCTTTGCGGTTTAGCCCAACAGCGCCACCACGTTCCTTGGGAACTCTTAGTAGCTCATAAAAGTTAATGTGCATAAATTCCCCTTTCCTTTGATTGGTTAAACAAACCAGGATGCTATGATTCAATGAAATGTAGTTTTGCATTATAGCTGAACATGATTAATTGCTTTCAATTAAACCTGGGCTGAAAAATACCTGAAATCTAGATCTGGAGCTTACAAATCCTGGCTTGTTGAGACTCTTACTTACTCTAATTCTGAGATGAACATACTGTGAAGGTATCATTAACTGTGGGTTCCTGGTTTGTTTGATCACTCTTGTGAAAGGAGAAGTGAATTATTTGGATGCACTGACACACTGCATGTGCACATCATGATTCTACGTAACAGGATTCATAGCTTGCTATGATGTGTGAACATGGCTACCGCTGAGTGAGGATGACTTGAATCCTTGGGAAGAATGTTTGCTGAATGTTTCTAACTGAACAATAAATGAGCATGTCCCAGGACCCTGGGCCTTTTCCCCTGGGAAGCTGGGCTGAGGCTGAAGGCCAGGTACGTTTGCATTTTGCTGAGTTTTTTCCCCCTTGGGTTTTCTTTTTATCTCCCCCACCACATGGCCTGGAGGTCGGGCCTAGAGGTTGGGGCTTTCTGCTTTAAATGACTGTGTCCCAGGCACGCAATCTTCTCAACTTCTCTTATTCTATCTCTGGCCCTAATATGGTAAATAGGAAAGCTAATTAGATTTGTATACACCTGGGCGGCAGGAAGGTTCTAAGGGTCGGATCATACTTCCGCACTATTAAAGAGCAGGCTGGGTAGGTGGGGCTCGTCAGCCATGGAACGCAACCCATCTAGGAGAAGGAAAACTCTGATTTCAAATCTTCACTGCCTTGTGGCTATATCCACTCATGGAAAAGGCTTCAGGAGTTAACCTAGAGGCAAAATCCAGAGCTGGAGTCCCGAAGGCCATTCGTTTCGTTCTGCCAACTCCTGCGACGTTGCTGGAACCAATTGTATTGGCTCTTGCCTTTCCATTGGACCATTTCAGCAATGTGGAGAGAGGGGATTTACTGCTTGGGTAACAGCCTATCCTCCTTATTACTTTACCCAGGCTTCATGCTCTGGAGAGGACACTCCTCAATTCAGAGCATGTTACCATGGTCTCTCGAGACTGAAGGATGCCTATGAGACAACGAAAGAGCATGTTCTCTTACATATTGCTGAGTCATTGGATATACAACCAGAAGAGAAAGTGAACTTTGACAGTTTGACATCATTCACACAACTTCTGAAAATCATTGTACAAGACACACCGTGATCAAAACTTTGTAAGGCCCAAATCAAATGCTTTCATGAGGCAGGTTTAACTTACATATTGGGATGTCTAAATCTGTCACTGCCATTTTCCTTTGTGTTGTAGTTCTCAGAACCCCATCTGAATTCTTGCCCTACCCTCATTCCATATCAGATTGTGAAACTCTGTTTCATCTTTCTTATTTGTGCACATTTTGGTAAAGTTGTTCCCCTAAAGTATGCATTTAATCCATGTCAAGAAGGATACAAACAATTCATTGTGGTGACCAGCAGCTCCTTGATCTGCCTTTAGGCAACCCAGAATTGCACAAATACCCCTGATTCTGTCCATTTTTGCACGTTTGTCAGAACAATACATGTACCAAACTCTCAAGTACATAGGAAAAGGTGTCTTGTTCGTTCTAGTACTTGCCTCCTTTCTCTTGTACTCCTTACTCAATAAGCTTCCATATCGCTTCCTTATGAATTGTCCAAGCTCATAGTGCTGCTGCATTCCGATCTGTGGAAGCAACAGTATTTTTAAAAAGGGATATAAAAGAACAATACTGAGTGCAAATGGAGACCTCACGGGATAAGAAAAAGCAGAGATGACGAGGTTTGGGCTAATGATTTTGGAGCTTCATGTTATCTCTCTCTCTTTAGAATGCATTTAAATGTTCTATCTATCTGTCTGTCTGTCTGTCTGTCTGTCTATTCTGTACTATGTTAGACCACTGATCTCTCTAGCCCAGTATTGTTGACAACTTGACCTTGATTAGCAGTGGCACTTCAGGTTTTCAAGCAAGATTTTTTGTTGTTGATCTGCCTAGAGATGCCAGGGGTCTTTTGCTTGTGACGCATGTGCTCCACCAGTGAACTACAACTCTTCCCAGTTCCACCCAACCCGGGATGAGAAACATTGTTCTTCAGATGTTATTGGGCTCCAGATGACATCAGTGAAATACAACATGGTCAATGGAAGGGGAGACAGGAGCTGTAGTCCAGCAACATCTGGAGGGACAGGTTTCCATGCACGTGAACCTGAATACAGGATGCTGTCTTGAGTCTGTGGTACCAAAATGCACTGGAAAATTAGTGGAATTTGAAATAGAACTATTGTGGTATATTCTGATTAATGAGTATACTTTAATTTCTAAGAGCAGCTTATCAAACCTCAGTGAGTTGTCCATATCCTTGTGGCCAAACATCTTCTTTGACTGTATTATTAGGAAAAGTAGAAATAGGGCTTCTGTCACCATGTCGGAAAACCTGGTAAAATGGGGTTGAAGTCAGTATCAGTTTTCAGAGAAATTAGAATTTAATGTCAAAATAATTTACTGAATTAAATGATTGCAACTACAATAGATGTAAATTGTGAGCATGTAGTTCTGATACACAACAATTGAATACAAGTCTTACTCAAAGGGAGGCCTTGAAGAGTCCACTGTTATTTCATTGTAAGTAAATGTGGATTGCATCACAGTCTCAGTGAGTTAGGCTGAAAAAGCTGCCACAAAGTCTCAGAAAAGTGCTGTGCAGTTGTACAAAACAAAATAGTGGCAGTAAATTGAACGCAGATTTCTATAGTGCTGGTGTCTGTGTCGTATGTTCTTCTGAGAACGCAACACAAGATATGGTAGGAATTTCTAGAATTAACAGATTATGGAAAAATATTTGAAAACAGAATTGTTATGGTCTTGGTAATTCTGGATGTTAAAATTAGTGCACCGATATTATAATTATATTCCTCTGCAACTTGAGCAGAGGAATATAATGAGAGGTAGCAAAGTGGCTCTTGATATCTTGTTCTTCCTGATCTGAACTATTCTTTGCTCACTTCCTTTTTTAGGTCATTCCACCCCTGTTCTTTCCGGAAATAGATTGTTCTTTGTTATGCTTTGGCTGCACTGGAGAGCTGGCTGTGAGGGTGCCTCCATGTTAGCCTTTAGCTAATTCACATGCATGAAAGCCAGCTACAGGGGCTTCTTGTTGTAGATCTAAAGTTTATCCTAGAATTCTTGGACCAATGTACACACTTCCTTCTTTTCCCATTATCATGAGTATCCCGAATAATTTCTTTTAATTCACAGCCATAAGTTCACCTTACTAGCCTGCTGCTCTCCGTTATCAAAAATTTCTATAGGTTTTGGGCACTAGTTAATGCTGTGCTACTGCAGAAAGATTTGTGGGAGAGGCTGTTGGACTAAGAGTGCCTCAAGCAAGCACATGGGGTATGCTTTGAGCCCCAAGTGGCAACCAGCCAGTTTTCTTTGCATATTCGAGACTCTATTATGGAAGATGAAGGCATTTTGGAAGATTTGAAAATTGAACGTAAGAACCACCTGCTTTTAAAGAAAAAAGGGGTCGTGTGTTATCTAAAAATAAATAAATAAGTGCTTAAATGACCAGCCAACACTCCTAAAGATGAGACATAGTTAGCTTAAACAAGAGCAGCAGCAGCAGCAGCAGCAACAATAATGCACTTGTGTGCGCATGTGCATAGATGCACACATACACACACTCTGTAGGTGAAAACAATGCATGTGAGTTTAGGCGGTCCAGAAGGGGAAATCTTAAAAAAAAAAACAGGACCTCACAAATCTTCACACAGTGCAACATTTGACACTGGAATGTTGGAATAAAATAGAGAGTTCTATAACTCAGCACATTTCCATTCAAACTCAATCAAACAGAAATATCAGCATCTGCGAAAGCAGCACAGGAACTGGTGGAGGAGAAAGTACAACTCACTCTTGCAGAGTAAACTAAAAGCTTTGTTTTTACGTGCCATATTTTTCCTAACCTGGGGATAAAGAAACTATTTACAGTGAAACAAATTCTACTCTCAGTTATTTTACATATATTTACCATCAGTACAAACTAAAATATTATTGTCGTCAGGGAAACAAAGCCTTGTACTTACTGCAACCACGGACTTTAGCTCCCTTTCTGTGGTGCTTTGGAGAAGAAGGGCAAAGAAGAAGCTAAAGAAAGAAAAGCCAAAAAGACGGAAACTGCACACCGGGCACACCCTCGACAGGCCCATCCTGAAAGCAGGATGGAAAAAGCTTTTTGGTGAAAATAGCCCAATGAGGGCAAATGCTGTGCTTTATAATGAACAAACAAAGGGGTGGAGACTTCCTTTCCCTCTCTTTGTGTATTTTACCTTGAAGATTAATTTGGTCATTATAATTACTGATCTATGTCTTAGGTACACAAAGTTCAGTGAGGCTGGTTTACCACCACACGGGCCACACAGCAAATGTGGCCACATTTCCCGTCCCTTCAAAAAATTCTGTCAGTTCCATCTCGGGTACAGGATGGCGAAGGGTATTCACTAAAAAGTGAGAGTGTCTTGATCGAAGCTATGTTCGGCAAGTGTCTTCATTTTCGAGGGTGGCCCAACACAGTTGGTCGCCTGGGGCAAAAGAGAAGAAGGCAGCTCCTCCCTTGCTTCAGGTGCAACAGTTGACTGGACTGCTGCTTGAATCCGAATTCAGTACTGGCAGTGGGATAACATCTTCCAGTCCACTGGAACGGAGGAGGCCAGTTTAGGGGAGCCAGGTGGCGCATGCGGGTCTGCTCACTAACAGAAGAGACTGGCTGGAGAAAGATAAAAAGGAACTGTTGGGCAAGAGACAAGTCATGCTGACCCTTAGCACCTGGCCTCATTCTGTCTACTGGTAGGGCTGGCCCTGTTTCTCTTAGGATTGACTTATTTTTGTGGTCATAATGAGCCCTCATGCAGGAAGCCGATGAGGAAAACATAAGAGCAATAACTTTCCTCTGCAGTAATGCTTCAGCAACTGGTATGCAGAGGCATACTGCCTCATGATTTGGGACGGGGGGCACAGAGCTATCATAATTCCACTATTGTTCTGAATCCTCTGCTAAAGCTGTGTAAATAGTAGCCAATGTTACCACATATTATAGCAGTTAATTCTCTGTTCAGCTATGTGGCATAGTTAGTAGTAGCTTATGCCTTTGGTCTCTCCTAAATCTCCCACTACTGACAATGTCCGTGACATTTCCTGTACATAAAACACTAAAAAGAATGTAGTATAAATGCCAAGTATTGTTGCCCCAATTCTATTGGTCTTTGTAGAAGGACTGCATATGTTGCTGCAGGTAAATCCAGCAACCTCTGGAATAACCTGCCTCCGGAGATTCGCACTGCACCCTTGCTGGGTACTTTTAAGAACCAACTAAAATGTGGATGTATAGGCAGGCCTTCCCTTCCAGTTAATTCCTGTCCTCTTTCCTTTCCCCCCCTCTTTATTTGATTTATTTAGTATTTTTCCCATCTTGCAGAATCATTTAATTAATTAATTGTTATACATTTTTCTTGAACTTGTTATGCTTTATGTTGTAAGCCACCTAGAGTGGTTGAAATGACTAGATAGGCGGGGTATAAATAAATAAATAAAAATAAACTTTACAAGGTGCCAGGAATCAGTCACATGTTTGGTCATCCACCCAACTATGCATCTATGCATGCCCTGATACCTTGTCTATTCATCTCTGTTAGCCATGACAACATATACAGTCCTTCTACCAACATCAACAGGATTTTGGTCTATATTTATTTGCTAAATATCCATAGTTATGGTGGGCAGTGTGTGTATGGTGGGTCAGTCTGTGGAAAACCAACCAGCAAACACCAAATCAAATAATTCCAATGTTCACATGCAGTGTTTTGCTCTTGTGCATAAAACTGAATGATGACTGCTCACTTAAATGGAAGGAAGTAAACAGGTGCTTCTTCTCACATGAGACCTGTCTAAACCTGACCTGCTGCCACCATACTGATCCCAGTCATGCAGCTATTGAGAACTAAGCATGCTGTCTTCCAACACTCCTTATACTGGGGTTTATTCTTAGCTGACCAGGCAACCCCCATAGATATCTGGGTACTGTACTTCCATGTGCTCCAATCTCCCCTTATAACCTGTGGGCATGCTGCTATGGCACAGGGCTACCCACTCCATCTTAATAGAAAGTAGCTCCTTACAAATTATTAGCTACTTGTAATGAATCCTTTTTCCAAATATCAAAGCTCTAACTACTCTACATTATAACTGTTAATTAAACTGAAATTGTTGGTTTTTAATAGCAGGAAAGTGTTACTTTGAAAATCGTTATTAAAATGATAATTAATGGTTTTGGAAATATTGTTACCATAATTGTAATGACAGGCCTTAAATATGACTGTGCTTAAATTTAAAATAAAATTTCTAAGCTCTGCTTTCCTTTGCCCATTCATTACATCTTGGTAGATTGTGTCTAGGACTGGGAATATCTCCCCTAGTCCATAGTATTATCAAATTGCTGGGCATGCCATTTGAAACTTCTTAAGGACTTTAGGTAAAGGTAAAGGTTCCCCTTGACAATTTTTGTCCAGTCATGTTCGACTCTAGGGGGCGGTGCTCATCCCTGTCTCCAAGCCATAGAGCCAGCGTTTTTGTCAGAAGACAATCTGCCGTGGTCACATGGCCAGTGCGACTTAGACACGGAATTCTGTTACCTTCCCACTGAGGTGGTCCCTATTGATCTACTTGTATTTGCATGCTTTCGAACCGCTAGGTTGGCAGGAGCTGGGACAAGCGACAGGAGCTCACTCCGTCACATGGATTCTATCTTACGACTGCTGGTCTTCTGACCCTGCAGCACAGGCTTCTGCGGTTTAGCCCACAGCGCCACTACGTCCCTGGTTTTCTTAAGGACTTTACTGGGCTATATATTTCGCAGACATTTTCAATGTTTCATGAGAAAAGATAGCTGGGAGTAGTACTTCCCATTTAGCCTCTTTCACCTGGTACTCTTCAAGCGACGGGAGTTCAGTTCCCCCATTGTACATCCATCTAGCCTATGGAATCTTGGGTAAGTTGCATAGTGCCAGAGTGAATCTAGAAGGAAGGACTAGTAAACCACACCTGAGTACTTTGAACCTAGAAACCCTTGGGAAGGCTCACCGTAGGTTGAAATAAACTTGATAGTGTATAATAATAATTATTATTTAGTCAGTTGTACTTGTAGATACACTTGTAAGCTTAGCTCACCACTATTTACCTTCCTTGGTTATGTATATGTTGAGGTCCCATACTTTGGAAAGAGCTGTTACCATCTTTCAATGACATCTGCAGATTTATCATCAAGTGCTTGACTACATACAAAATCACTCTTGACCATATGAGATGGTTCTTTAAGAACATTCTGGTCTGAGAACTCTATGGTTCACACCCTCACAAAGAGTGCTATCAGAAAAAGGATATCTCTTAGATCCCTGGCATCCTTCTGAGCAGGTGAGTGGAGATAGATGAATTATCCCAGGAGGCAGAACAAATATGGCAGAACCTCTATATACTGATAGTGGGAGGATCTGAGGTGACGTGAGGACTCAATCCCAGTCATAAGCCTTTTGTTTGACTTGCTATTTATAGAGCAACTGCCTAGTAGATAAATAAGACCCTTTGCTGACTTAACACCATCTCCTGGTTCTGTATTTATGCTCAGATCCATAAGTACAGAACCAGGAGATAACCATGACCCTAAATCAGCAACTTCTTGTTGCATTCAACCAAGTGTCATGCACTACTGCCTGGGGCACTAGCTGGATATGCAAGTGATGTCCTTGCTTTACTTTTACTTTACTTTTATTGAATTTATACCCCGCCCCTCTAGACAAAGTCTACTGCATAAAGAGGGAGAAGTTCCTCCCTACCAGGAGCACTTTATATGAGGCTGTCCTTGAAATATGTTCAGCAACTGCCGCTAGAGTAAAATGCTGTTGCTTGGTTATTGATTGGAGCAAGATGATCAGAGCATATCACGTGCTTCTATTTGATCCGTACTGGTTGTCAGTCTGCTTCCACCATGCCTGCATTAAAATTTAAAGCCCCAAACACTTAATCTAAGACTGCCTTTTTTCTAGCATGTTTCACTCACAGGTAGGGCTTCTTCTTCTTCTTTTAAATCTACAGCTCCCATAAATCCCCAGATAGCATGGATTAGTGGCCATCCTAGTCATACTAGCTAGGTATCTCTTGGGATTGTTATCCAAAAAGTAAAGTCCTGCTCTGCAGTCTTCATCCATTTGAAGTGTTTGTGGATGCAGGGAGGAAGGAGCATGAGCTTCTCAGTTGGGGCAGCCACCCTATCAAATGCCTTCCTGCCAAAGCTCATCTGCCTTTTAGTTCATCAGTCTTTTATTTATTTTTTTGATTGGGGGGGGCACACCACAAAGTAGAACAAAGGCCTTCTGTTTACCCTCAGAGCAGAGCAATATACAAATTGAGGAATTTCTGTTGTTGCTTAGATTGGCTTTTACATTCTAGAATATTTGATTCCAACTTATGGTGACCCTTTTTTAGGTTTTCTAGTTATGGGGCATTTAGAAGAGGTCTTAAGATTCCATTCTTCTAGAGGCACTGTTAGGCCATATAGCTTGCTCACAACCACACGGGATGACTCTTCTCCTACAAGGCACAGTGGAATATTGAACTCTGACCACTGGTTCTGCAACCAAGTGCTTCACCTCTCTGGGCTATCCAGTCAGCTTAGCCCTCCTCTACAGCTTCCTTAATTTGCTGGTTTCAGTGGGCGCCTTCCTCCCTCCACTGAGCATATCTGCCTCTGAGATTTCACCAAGTAAGTCACTCTCTGCATTCTGGTGCCCCCTTCCTTTGCTTTGCTCATAGACTAGCACTCAAAATATCAGCTGTCTGCTGCTCTTTTTGGCCTGGGTGGGTATACTGCCTTCATAACTTTAAAAGCAAGCAACCTTCTTCCTTTATCTTCCTTACAAACCAGAACTTTCTAAGTCAGCTGCCTGCCAAGCAGGGGAAGTGATTAATTTGCCAATAGCCAGAAGTGGCTCGCTTACGGTAGAAGCAATTTCCATGTGAACAGTCAGGGCTTGATTTCATTGTCCTAATCAAGATGGACTGTTCCAAAACAGCCCACACTAGCTCGCTCTCTGCAGCTAGTATAGCCATACCCTCACACTCTGTCTTCCTTACATAGGGTCTGTGGAGAGGTAGAAACCAGGGGAAAGGAGCATGCAAGCGTAAAGGGAGTTGTATGAGATTAGAGC